TTTAACACATTGGTTTGAAACCTTTGTTCCTCTCCTTAAAATGGCAAGAACGACTTTAATCCCATGTATTTGGTGAGGTGGCCTGGCTCCCCAAAGGTGCTTCCCCCCCCGGCCCCCCCCAAGAGGCAAGTGGACTTTCGGGTTTTGATTTGAAGACGTTTCGCTTCTCATCTCAGAAGCTTCTTCAGTTCTGACTGAATGGTGGAGGAATGGAAGGATTTATATTCCTTGCAGACAGCTGGTCATTTGCGTCCTTTTTTAGAGGGTCGTTGAGGCCACTTGGAGGTTTTATCTGTTTTGTCACAGATAAAAAAAAGCACCTTTGGGATAACCGTGAGCTGGATAGACCAGTGATGGTGAGCTTTTTCTGCACCGAATGCCCAAGCCGGAATGCAGGAAACCTGAAGACCAGCTGGCCAGTGTGTGCATGCCTGTTTTCTGGGCGTTTTCTGGGCCATTTTCCAGGCTGTTTTCAGGTTATTTTGGCCTGTTTTTTGGACCAAAACCAGTCTGAAAAGTAGCCTGAAAATGGCTCCAAAACAGCCCTGAAAACGCCCCCCAAAACGGTCTAAAAACAGCCTGTTTTTGGTCAGTTTTGACTGTTTTTCGGGCCATTTTCTGGTGCTTCAGTGCCCACAAAAATCAGCTTTTCCCTCTTCCCCTTCTTGCCCTCCTCTTCCCACTCCTTTCCATTCCCCTCTTCCTCTTTCTTCTTCTCCTTCCCCTTCTCGCCCCCCTTCTCCTTCCCATTCCCCTCCTCCTCTTCCTCTTCTTCTTTCTTCTTCCCCTTCACACCCTCCTCCTCCTTCCCATTCCCCTCCTTCTCTTCCTCTTCCTCTTTCTTATTCCCCTTCTTGCCCTCTTCTTCCTCCTCCTTCCCATTCCCCTCTTCCTCTTCCTCTTCCTCTTTCTTCTTCTCCTTCCCCTTCTCGCCCTCCTCTTCCTCCTCCTTCCTATTCCCCTCCTTCCTCTTTCTTCTTCTCCTTCCCCTTCTCGCCCTCCTTCTCCTTCCCATTCCCCTCCTCCTCTTCCTCTTCTTCTTTATTCTTCCCCTTCACACCCTCCTCCTCCTTCCCATTCCCCTCCTCCTCTTCCTCTTCCTTCTTCCCCTTCTCGTCCTCCACTTCCTCCTCCTTCCCATTCCCCTCTTCCTCTTTCTTCTTCTCCTTCCCCTTCTCGCCCTCCTCTTCCTTCTCCTTCCCATTCACATTCACATTCCCCTCCTCCTCTTCCTCTTCCTCTTTCTTCTTCCCCTTCCCCTTCTCACCCTCCTCCTTCCCATTCCCCTCCTCCTCCTCCTCCTAGGTATGCGAGAAAGGAAGCAGCCCAAAAGTGGTCGGACTCCTGCTCAACAGTGGCGCCCGAGAACAAGACGTCCGGAGCGCCTTAACAGTCAGCATCAAGAAAGGGGACAGCGAGATCATCAGCCTGCTTCTGAAAAAACTTTGCCTGGACGTGGCCAACCGCAGCATTTGCCTGGGAGGGTTCGGTATCGGCCGAATGGAACCTTCTTGGCTGATCCCCTTGTTTCCGAGCGGACTTACATCCTCCCGGAAGCAAACAAGTATGTGTTTGTAGAAGGGATGCTAATCTTAAGATGCGTGCAGTTGTCAGGCGCAAATGATCAGACCCACCGGTGTGGAGTTCAAACTAGTACTTTGTTGTGGTCTGCCTATCATACAGGTAGTCCTCGACTTACAACAGTTCCTTTAGGGACTGTTCAAAGTTACAGCGGCATGGAAAAAAGTGACTTATGACCATTTTTTCGTACGTTGCGACTGTTGCATTTTCCCCGGGGTCGTGTGATTTACAATCAGAAGCTTGACAACTGATTCACATTTATGACGGTTGCAGTGTCCCGGGGGTCATGTGATCCCCTTTTGCGACCTTCNAAGATCAGTTCCACTGCTAACTTCTTCTGCTTAAGGATTTAATTTAGCATAAAAAAGAGATTTTGGGGGGCATTTTTTTTTCAAAACAGAAAGGATTCACCAGATAATCACACTTTATCTTTCCATTTCATTCCGTTCCTTAGCTACCCCATTTCATCAGCCTAGTTTGCCTTTTGTCGGCAGCTTGAAGCCTTCTCTTGTATCAATCAGAGACTTGTGTTGCCCCTGATATCAGCAAGATGTAGTCTTCCTGTTCACCGTCTCTTTGGGATGGTTTAGGTCTGATTGGACACCCCCCCCCAGTGGCAAAAGTATCAGCTGCAGTCTCAGAACATCGAGACCGCATGTCCGTACCGTAGGGACGTTGTTTCCTCCTCCAGCAGCTTTGTCTTTATGTATTGGTAGGACTAG